AGCAAAAAATATCTGTTCCAGGAGCTCTGTATCCTGGCGTTTTCTTCTTGGATAGAGATTTTGTTGAACAAGTGGGACACAACATGTATTGTATCATGTTGCGAATCATGGCCTTGCAACTAGCTTGTGTTCAGGTGTGGAAGTTCATCCTTAATGTTTGCACTTCTGTCCACTTTGCACAAATGTCTCCTCTTATCTTGTTGAAGAAGGTACCTTCTTCGTCCATCTCAACTTCCTGCCTCCTCTGCAGCTCAATTTCCTGAGACTTCGACTTTGCTGTTGCAGCATGAAGCTCTTATGTGAGCTCGCGCTTGCTGTGGTGTGTAAGCTCTTCCCTGTGGTCTCGGACCAACTCCTTCCACATCCTCGCACTCACCTCCATCCCCAGGGACTTCCAGCGTATCTTGAATTTTGCAGCGCTATTAGATTCCCACAACTGGCATTGGCTCGCCTGGCTTGGTCGGACAGCCCGCCAAAACCCTTCAAAAGTACACTCCTCCTCTTGATGCACTTCTGTCGCATATATATTTTCTCGCCCAGAGCAGGAATGATCTAGAGTGTCTGAAGTCACTCGCGTTCCAGAAGAGCCATGAGCTATTTAGGTTTATGCAACTGAGGATATTGAAGATAGATCTTTCACCGCGACTCTGCTTAGGGTCAATTCAGTTCTTCTTCGAGGGTCCACTTCAAAGCTCTTTTGAAAGCACTGCTTTGGTGTACAAGTTTTTTGAAGTTTGAATATGTCCTGTTGGTCCTCATAAGGAGTGGAATGAGAGGAGTTGTAATTTGGGCTGGCTCAGATAGTGCTTCTTAGTGATGAATACTAAAACTCCTCACTATTTGCATCTTCCAAGTATGGAGGTATGAGCAGGAGCATTGTCCATTAACAGGACGCCACTTGAGTGGCGTTTATTTTCCAGGAGGTATTTCTTCACTCTGGGGCCAAACAACTTCGATTTAAAACCAGTCTAGGAGAAATTCCCCTTGTGACCCATGCCTTATTTGTTAGCCTTACCACATCAAACAAAATACTACTTGGCGAACACTTTTCTTCGAATCGCGCTCGGGGGATTTTTCAGAGTGATACACAGAAGTAAAGGCATTTCCGCTGTTGCCAATCCCTCTAGCATTACTACTCTTAAGTTCATGTACGAGTAAGCATCTCTTAGTAGGCTTGGGTTGGTTCATGGGGAGGTGCCGTTTTCATCATGCGTGATGTAGGTTCTTCTTTGGCATTTTCTTCCAAAAGACGTAGGCCTGTTCGTCTCACAATTAAACTCTTGTTGGGGTTTTTATGAATTGTCTCGGCTCTCCTCAGTGTTACTACGATAGAGACTCCTTAAACTCCTGTACGAAAACTTTTCAGCTGACATTTTTGTCAGAACTGGCAGACTCCATCCATGCCTTATCACGCACTGTGAATGCCACTACGCTTCTTAAATTCCTCAAACTAACCTTTGCTGACCTAAAATATCACAGAAGCTTCACCACTTGTTGCAGGCTTGGTCTATACTCGTGATCGTCAGGGTGCCAAGTTTGATGTTTTGGTCGCCTTGCCTTTTTCACATTTTATTCGCGTGACTGCATATGAGAATACTATTTCTACCACCTGGCTAATGTTTTTGGGTATATCCACATCAGCAATAACTTTTCCACTTTCTCTTCAAGGATTTGCTAATCTCTTTTTGTCAGATATCAACCCTCTTTTGCAGCAACCAGCACACTTTTATTTCCTTTTCCTCCTTCGGCTTCATTTCGATGTGTTGGTTGATTATGGGGTTGGCCATACATCCTGGCTAGACTTGTTCGGTATATCATCGCACTTCCGCGTCTTCTCGATTTTTTCAAATTGATTTCTCCTTCTTTGAATTCATCGATCTGTGCTTCTGACTTTCTTTTAACCAAAGGGCTTGCACTAGCTTTCCTTGGGCCATGGTGACTGAATTTAGCAGTTGCAAACACAAAAAATTCAATGGTTTTATATGAAATGTATTGTTATGACCCGCTGGGGTGATGGTCAACGTGTGTAAACAATTGTGGCACATGTGTGTGATGGTGTGGGAGAGACTGGCTTTGTGTGCGTGGTGCACGGCTCGCGGACAGGTTACCCGGAACGGTTTGCTGAATCACGAGTTCCAATCACGAACCGCGAGGATCTATAATTTTGCCAAAAAAAATGTTGCCGAAAGTTGATTTCACGAAAGTCGATGCCGACGAAACTTGGGGGTCCACTTTAAATGCTAGAGTGTGGGGGAGAGGGTTGGAGATTAAATATGGGGGAGATTCAAATGCAAAATGGAGTTTTACGTTACTTTTTGGTTGATATTGTGCTATATGGGGATTCTAATGAAAAATTTGCAAAGGTTAAGTGGTCGAGTTGGGAGTGTGTGTTGAAAGTAGAAAGTTGAAAAGTGAACATAGAAAAGAGTAAGGTGATGAGGTATCTAAAGGCTTAGATAAAGAGAAAAATTGGATATCAAAAGTTTGGGGATGAAGGGTATGGAAGAAGTGAATGTTTCAGATTTATTTGTGAGTTGATTTGTGTCGGCAAATGGATTTATGAAAATGAGGCATTATCATGGGAATTGATGAGGGAAAAAGAAAGGTGAGTGGTGCATTGGAGGTTTATGTGGTAGTAGGTGGTAGACGCAACCACCCAGGGAAGGTACTACCGTTCTGCCAGATGGACTGTTGGAAACAGAAACCTGTAACTGTATTTGTTTGCATGATGGGATTGGATTTGCTGGTGTCTTATTCTGTCTCATAAACAATTGCTAGATACTGGGATATCGGCTACTCTACACTTACACGTTTGGGTTCACACTTCACAGACATGCCACTGCATCATATTTTTATATTATACATACATTAGGTTGTTTCCTATTTCTAAATAGACTCTTGTTCTTTCTTTATTTCTTTATTGTCCATGGGGGGAAGTGGAAAGAATCTTTCCTCCGTTAAGCCATGTAGTGTCGTAGAGGCGACTAAATGCCGAGGAGCGATGGGCTAGTAACCCCTTTGCTCTGGAGACATTTAAAAAAAGAAGGAAGAAAAACTTTATAAAAAGGGATGCTTGAATGTGCGTGGATTAGTGCTGATGACAAGAACAGATGATTGCTGTTGTTATGAATGTAAAGAAGTTGGATTGTTGTCCTAGCCGTAAGCGAGGCTTTCGTTTTACACTCACTTGGCAGGACGGTAGTACCTCCCTGGACGGTTGCTGTTTACCAACCTACTATCTATCCTCACACACATAACCTCCTTTATTCCTTTCCTCCAACCTTTCCTAGGATGATCCCTACCATGCCTTCCACTTCAGATTTATATGCCCTTCAAGTCATTCTATCTCATTTCATCCTTTCTAAACATCCAAACCACCTCAACAACCCCTCATCAGCCTCTGGATAATTTTTAGAAGCCCTGCACTTCCTTCTAATCTCCAAGCTTCGGATTCTCTGCATAATATTCACACCATACATTGCCCTTGGACATGACGTCTCCACTCCCTCCAGCCTTCTCCTTGTTGCAACATCACCACGCATGCTTCACACCCATATAAGTGCGTTGTAACCAATATATGTACTCTCATACATTACCCTCTTTGTATACATGGATAATGTTTGTCTTCACAGACTTCTCAGTGCACCATTTGCCTTCTTTTTCCTCATCAGTTCTATGGTTCACCTCATATATTGGCTTATCTTAATGTTTTATATTAAGTTCAAGGGAATATCCTGGGCTTTACAGACATAATGCAATTTGTGTGTGTTCATAGCACCAGTGTGCCTTCAAGACCACTGGAAAATGTGTACATATTTACAAGGAAATGTGATATTACAGTTGTTTCAAGGTACAGAATTCATTGAAACAGAAATAAGTCACATTGGCTATATTGGGTTATCCAAGGTTAAATGTAAATAGTGTGCTTTTTGGATGAATTCCACTTTTAGTATCATGAAATTGTTATAAATTTGGAAATGACAAGTCATCTTCCTGCCAGTTCCACACCCTATTTGCTGATAGGGAAGCTGGTGTTGGAACAATAGGCACTGGTTTCATTGTTTACTTATGCTAGTTAGGAAGTGTTAACCATGATGCATAATGCACTACTTGGATATGTCTGGTCTTAGATATTTTCAAAGGCATAAAGAGGTTGTAGGAGACCCAAAAAGTTGTGCTGAGGTAAAAAATATTGGCAGGAGGCATTTTTGAAGCTTCAAACAGTGTGAAGGTTAGAAGGTGATGTGGAGGGTCACCAAGGGTATAATGTAGAGGGCTGAGGCGGCATTGTTGATGTGATCTGGGCATGTAGAGGATGGAGAGGAATAGGTTGACAGAGATGATGTATAACTTGGGGTGGAAGGCAGAAGGGAAAAGAGCCATTCTAGGAATGGTTGGAGGAAGGTGTGTAAGAGGCCTTGAGTTTTAAGGGCTTGAGCATCCAGCAGGCTTTTGCGAGTGTTATTGAATGGAGACAAATAGGTTTTTAATAGATGTGCTGTTGGAGTGTGAGTAAGGTAACTTGAAGAGATTCAGGAAAACAAGTTAGCTGGATTTTAGTCTTGGAAGTGGGAAGGGTAGTGCCTACATTCTCAAGGAAGGGAGGGGATGTTGCAGTTGGAGGGTAATCTGATTATTATGTCATTACACTTTTGGAAAGACAGCAGTTGAATAAATGATAATGAATGTGTTTCCTTTGTGTCACCCTACCTTAGCAGGAGACAGTCATTGAGTTCAGTTTTTTTTTTTATTAATGAATAGAGTAGGGAGTTTTGTTGAGCATTTCTGTAATTTATGAGTGTGATATCCTAGCGATTGACGATAGATTTCCAGCCCATTTCTCTCCTCTACCTAATTTAGATTTATTCCATGATATTTAGAGCAGTGTGCACAAAGAAATAATTGATGCATTGTATCATAGAGCCTTAATACCTACCTTACTTTCCATTTAACAAAGCATTCTGTATTTTATTATTATTATTGGGACTGATGGTTTGCAGGTAATGGAAGCAGAGGCTCAGAAAGCTGCTAGTGAACGTGAACACATGCGACGTGCTTCAGTCTTCCAGCAGGCTGAACAACGAGTCCAACAGTTACAGCGGGGCCTTAGATCCTCCATAAATAAATCCCTTATCTACTTTGAAGAAAAAGCAAAAGTTCAAGCCCAGTTAGAGAGTCAGAAGGAAAGAGTTCAGCAGCTTCAGAGAGCAGTAGCTGCTTCAAAGTTATCATATGCTCAGTCCTTAAGGAGTTTGGAACAGGTTTGGTGTTTGGAACTGTTTTTTCTTGCATGTTAAAATATTACAGCCGAGACTTAACCCGTAAACAGTCCAAACATATATATATACATTCTTACAGCTAGCGCCCCAAACGTGTATATACATTTTATTTTTCCTGCTTCCAAATTTGGTACGATTGGTCTGAGATGCCTGGTCACCATAGAATGGGTCTTAACACTTGGTGTGCACCATATTAAAATAATCTGGGACTTCTTAGTACCTTGTGGGAGCACCAGTTAAAGTAAGTGCCAGCTAGAGCAAAGTGTGGCAAACACCAAGGATTCACTGATATAATGTCATATTAACACTCCCCTTTTAAGTGGAAAGTGATGTTGACCTCAAGTTTAGTGTCTGTCTATCTGTAGCTGTCACTGTCTATTTGTCTCTGTCTATCTGTGTCTATCTGTCTCTGCCTGTCTGTCTTTCTGTCTCTACCTGTCTCTGCCTGTCTCTGTCTTCTGTGTACCTGTCTGTCTGTCTGTCTGTCTCTGCCTATCTATTTTTATCTCTGTCTCAGAGGTACATATACAATTATACATAGTGTAAATGACCTAGGATAACCTAAAAAATCCAAAGTGCTATACTGTGCTTGTAGATATAATGCATAAGAATACCTGTTGGTTCACAGTGGCTCTCTCTGAGACAGAGAGACAGACAAGACAGAGAGACAGATAAGCAGAGACAGAGATGCTGATGCTCATCAAATGTCATCCCTTATTAACTTTTATCACTGCCCTCCCGGATGCTTGTCACTGACATCATGCTTCAAGGGAACTTTTTCGTCGTCGTCTTCCTTCTTCTTCCTTTTTCTTCCTTTTTCTTCCTTCTTCCTTCTCCCTTCTTCTCCCTTCTCCCTTCTTCTCCCTTCTCCCTTCTTCTCCCTTCTTCCTCCTTCCTCCTTCTCCCTTCTCCCTTCTTCCTCTTCCTCCTTCTTCCTTCTTCCTCCTTCTTCCTTCTTCCTCCTTCTTCCTTCTTCTTCTTCCTCCTACCTTGAAATATTCGTAGTCTTAATGTAGGGCAAAAGGTGAGTAGCATTTACTATAAGAAGTTAGGTGTGGTAGCCCTTCTGGCCACCCCTACCCACACATAATATACTACGAAGATGCTTAAATAGAGTGATAAAATGCATATACAGTACACTCATTACTTACCTTAAAATATTTGTAGTCTTAATGTAGGGTGAAAGATGAAAAGTATTTATTTGTAGAAAGTGGTGTGGTAGGTAAGGCAGTATAAGGAAGCCAGCCTGGCTACCCCACCCACTATGTAAACAAACAGACGATGAGTCTGGTTGTGGTTCATAAAAATTCATACAAACACCTTACATTGTGTACAAGTTGTCTCCACAGTGGTACAGTAGAATAAATAAAGACCAACACTTCCATTCTCATGCAGTTTTTAGAAGGAATGATGCTCTGACAAATTATTATTATTATTTTTTTTTAACATGTCGGCCATCTCCCACTGAGGCAGGATGACCCAAAAAAAAAAGATCCCCAAAAAGAAAATACTTACATCATTCAACACTTTCACCTCACTCACACATAATCACTGTTTTTGCAGAGGTGCTCAGAATACAGCAGTTTAGAAGCATATACGTATAAAAATACACAACATATCCCTCCAAACTGCCAATGTCCCAAACCCCTCCTTTAGAGTGCAGGCATTGTACTTCCCATTTATAGGACTCAAGTCTGGCTATATAAAAATAACCGGTTTCCCTGAATCCCTTCACTAAATGTTACCCTGCTCACACTCCAACAGCTCGTTAGGTCCCAAATACCATTTGTCTCCATTCACTCCTATCTAACACGCTCACGCACGCTTGCTGGAAGTACAAGCTCCTCGCCCACAAAACCTTCTTTACCCCCTCCCTCCAACCTTTTTGAGGACGACCCCTACCCCGTTTTCCTTCCCCTACAGATTTATATGCTCTCCATGCCATTCTACTTTGATCCATTCTCTCTAAATGACCAGACCACCTCAACAACCCCTCTTCAGCCCTCTGACTAATACTTTTATTAACTCCACACCTTCTCCTAATTTCCACTCTCCGAATTTTCTGCATAATATTCACACCACACATTGCCCTTAGACAGGACATCCCCACTGCCTCCAACCGCCTCCTTGCTGCAGCATTTACAACCCAAGCTTCACACATATAAGAGTGTTGGTACTACTATACTTTCATACATTACCTTCTTTGCCTCCATAGATAACATTTTTTGTCTCCACATATACCTCAAAACACCACTCGCCTTGTTTCCTTCATCAATTCTATGATTAACCTCATCCTTCATAAGTCCATCCGCTGACACGTCAACTCCCAAATATCTGAAAACATTCACGTCTTCTATACTCCTCCTCCCCAATTTGATATCCAATTTTTCTTTATCTAAATCATTTGATACCCTCATCACCTTACTCTTTTCTATGTTCACTTTCAGCTTTCTACCTTTACACACACTCCCAAACTCGTCTACTAACCTTCGCAATTTTTCTTTAGAATCTCCCATAAGCACAGTATCATCAGCAAAAAGTAACTGTGTCAATTCCCATTTTGTATTTGATTCCTCATAATTTAATCCCACCCCTCTCCCAAACACCCTAGCATTTACTTCTTTTACAACCCCATCTATAAATATATTAAACAACCATGGTGACATTACACATCCCTGTCTAAGACCTACTTTTACCGGGAAGTAGTCTCCCTCTCTTCTACACACCTTAACCTGAGCCTCACTATCCTCATAAAAACTCTTTGCAGCATTTAGTAACTTACCTCCTATCCCATATACTTGGAACATCTGCCACATTGCTCCCCTATCCACACTATCATATGCCTTTTCTAAATCCATAAATGCAATAAAAACTTCTCTACCTTTATCTAAATACTGTTCACATATATGCTTCAATGTAAACACTTGATCTACACATCCCCTACCCACTCTAAAACCTCCTTGCTCATTGCAATCCTACATTCTGTCTTACCTCTAATTCTTTCAATAATAACCCTACCATACACTTTTCCTGGTATACTCAGTGTTACAAAAAACGCGATTCTAAAAGCTTAGAGATCTCCAGTGAATACTAGAAAGGACTGCCCTTCTAGCATCCAGCCTGTTACTGGGTTTTCGTAACAATTAGTCAGTATCCTTGTCCAATTATCCATTAGAATTCAGGATGATTCAATAGTGCTTCAGGATTACAACTGGTAGGCTACTAACTAGAGAAAATAAAATTTAATAAATTTATTAAGTATCGTCTAGAGGTATATCATCAAATTAAATTAATCAATTCAAACAAATTAATAATAATCACTTCTCTCGTGTACAGTATTATTGTGCTGAAAGCACATATCACATTTATAATTCTTAAGTACCGTCTGGTACATTAACATTTAATTAGATATTACAAATATGTACAAGTAAGTTTGTGTGTATGTGCTCTAAGTAGTTCGCTATGTCTCACGACTCGACTAGACTTAAACAAGTGACTGACAAAGTCCTCAAATAAACTAACTTCTTAACCAACTGGCAATCAGAACAGTCTACTTGAACAATAAAAAGAACGCTAAGCCCAATAGCAATATAACAAGCAACTGCGACACAGAATCAGGAACAAGGAGATTATATAACGACACTAAGTAGGGATCATCAGCAGATCCTCCACAAAAGTCACAAAACTCCCATACTACTGAATCTAAGTTCAGCATAAGAAAATCCCCGACTGTGATAGTACACAGATACCAGTACAAGTTAGGTCAGAAGCTACAGCTCAGGACCTGAGTTGCTCAGAGTGTCTATGTGACACACAACCTCAGTGCAATGTCGAAAATCACTAAGTCTATACAATGTTCTGTGAGCAGAGTCTCCAGAACTAACAATAATAATGAGACAAGAGACGATCTTCCAACAAGGGCCAACAAGGGAGATTTAGCCACTTGTCAAGAATACGTCCAACCACCAAGAGAGTCTAGACCAGACTGAATACTTCAGGCGATGTGAGGACACCCCTCCCCTCGATCACGTGATAGCTCCGTTGACAGCTGTCGCCCAGCAACAGAAGCCGGCAGAGTAACGAGCCACAAGCGATAATTACAGTAGTTAGACAATCAAGACTTGAACTTTGAGAACATAATATGTGTTGTTAGGTAAGACACATATGCAACAGTTAGACAACTTTATTCTGAAACGTTTCGCCTACACAGTAGGCTTCTTCAGTCGAATACAGAAAGTAGGCTTTAACAGTAGAGATGTGAAGACGATGTAATCAGTCCATCACCCTTGTAGTCGTAGAATTTGAGGTTGTCAGTCCCTCGGCCTGGAGAAGTTCAGTTCCTGACTATGGAACTGAACTTCTCCAGGCCGAGGGACTGACAACCTCAAATTCTACGACTACAAGGGTGATGGACTGATTACATCGTCTTCACATCTCTACTGTTCCTGCCTACTTTCTGTATTCGACTGAAGAAGCCTACTGTGTAGGCGAAACGTTTTGGAATAAAGTTGTCTAACTGTTGCATATGTGTCTTACCTAACAACCTGTCGGTATTGTATACCATTTTGATGTTCATAATATGTGTTACATCCTACCTAACAAAAGGAAACTAAGTCAAATAATAATATATTATTTTATTGTTATTATCACACTGGCCGATTCCCACCAAGGTAGGGTGGCCTGAAAAAGAAAAGCTTTCACCACCATTCACTCCATCACTGTCTTGCCAGAAGGGTGCTTTACACTAGTTTTTAAACTGCAACATTAACACCTCTCCTTCAGAGTGCAGGCACTGTACTTCCCATCTCCAGGACTCAAGTCTGGCCTGCCGGTTTCCCTGAACCCCTTCATAAATGTTACTTTGCTCACACTCCAACAGCACCTCAAGTATTAAAAACCATTTGTCTCCATTCACTCCTATCAAACATGCTCACGCATGCCTGCTGGAAGTCCAAGCCCCTCGCACACAAAACCTCCTTTAC